TAATTACAGTATTATTATTATTAATTCATCTTTATGAATATTATACATCAATAAAAACAATTGTTGAACAACAGTTAAAAATAAATTAATTTTTAGAATTTTTATAAAGATTTATTATTATTATTATTATTATTAGGCTGCTGTGGAAAATACTAATGTAATAAATTTCAGAGCAGTGTTGGTCCACAAACAGCTGTACAAAATAATAATAATAATAATAGTTTCTTAAATAAAACAACAATAAAATATTTATGAAGATATTATATTTTTTATTGTTGTAGTATAATAATGATTTACTTATCGTGTCAAAAATATGAAATAAAACAATAATAAAAAAATCGGTTTTGCATTTCTGTCATACACTTAAACATAAACAATCTGTATTAGTATCAGGTTATAGGTGATTTCTAAAAAAAACAGCAGTATTGGTCAGTCTTTCTTGGCTTAGCGTTTCATAAAGAACAGCAGCAGGGAATGAGCACAATTAGGACAGATATTTATTGCGATTGTAGTTTGTAAGTTGCCATCACTTGTTTTGTTATGTGTATCTTATCTGAAGAGTCTGTGCGTGTTACCGTTAATCGCAGATCCCGCTCCCATCAAAGAGGACATGGAGGTGCTCTCAGACTTTGAGTTACACCACCTCTGTCAGCAGTATTCTGCACTGCAGGAATACCAGCTCCACACAGACTCGGGGAAGCTCGGCCTCCTCGCACAGCGGCTGAACTCCCTGAAGGAGAAGGTTGGGGAAAACAGATTCCTGGTATGTTCGGCAGACCAAATGACATTTTCAACAACCCCTTAGAGTATAATGAAAGTTATTTAACAGTACAGAGAAATACACTGTGTTCCAAATTACACCATTCTGTCACCTATAGACGTAGTATATACTTGGTTACAGCACACAGTAGACGACAGTTATTCCAAATCGTATTACCTTCTTTCTTCTTTGGAACACAAAAGCAGACATTTCACAGAATGTTTACGCTGCTCTTTTCCATACAATGAATTTGACCATGTCGTCCTCTCATTTCCACGACATGATCACGGATCGTGTCTCCTTCCCTGACACAGTGTTCTCCATCCGTGTCTTTGAAGACTTTGTCTGTCTTAGTTTCACGGAAACAGACTATTGGCTTCATCTGGCCAAGAACCACCAGTTTAGACAGGAAGAGACCATCTGTTTCGTCCTGTGAAGATGATTGTTCTTGTTTTGTGTTCTGTGCTGTCATTGTTTTGGTAGCATGGACGAGTTGTTGTTTTGGGTTTTGTTTGCTAGTAGCTGTTTTGTTTGACAATTTGTCCTTTGGACAACCTAACAGAGGTGTAAAGAGTACCTAAAAACCATACTTGAGTAAAAGTACAGATACCTTACAGTGAAAATTACTCCACTACACGTTACAAGTCACCAATTCCAAAACAACTTGAGTAAAAGTCTTAGAGTATCTGATTTTAACAGTACTTAAGTATGTTACTTATACTAAATATAGGCTAAAAATGCAGTAGCCAAAGAGGCATGCCAGTGATAAACTGTAATGTTGTGGAGAAACTGGGGAATAAGGCAGAGGTAAGCATCTATGTGCAGATATTTCATGGAAAAACTAGAACAAACAATAAGCCAAAAACCAAAGGGAACAAAGAACAGAATGACTGGAAAAGAGACAACCATTACATTCGACAACTCACAAGGAACTGAGGAAAAACTAGGGCTATATATACACACAGGGGGCTAACAAGCTTAAAGCCCCGTTCACACCAAGAACGATAACTATAAAGATAACGATATTAGAGTCCACACCAGCGAACGATCATCTGATTATTCTATGCGTACCCTCGTCTGTCGCTTTAAATTCTTGAGCTTGTGATAGCAGGATTGATTCTGATTGGCTGTCAATGTTTTTATCGTTCATCAGCTGGAAAAAATCGTTCTG